AATTGCTTTTGTAAACCAGTGAACAAAAAGGCACTGTGTCTCTCTTTACAATCATCGAAATTTGAGCCAACGCCCTTTTCTAAGTTAAATAACACAATAATTACAATAATTATGTTAATTTGTACATTGTTTAAAGTACTTCTCTATAAACGTTCGAAATGAAACTGTTTACGTGAGGAGGATTAACAGATACTTAAATATCGAAGAGTATGTACACGTTATTCACATTATATACAGGAATGAAAAATGTATTGCACGTTTACGTTGCGTTCTCGTCTGCCTGTTTGGTAATTTGTTCGTCGACCGGTTGGGCGAGCGAGTTTTGGAACCACATCATCCAGTTGCTGAGATAATGCCCTCCCAATTGATTATCAGGATTCTCCTTTATCTGCGCATTGTTCAATTCCTCAAAATTGCGTACGGTCTGTAGCTCGGTGAAGTTGTTGTTCACCGAGTGTCGACCATGCATCCTTACCTCCCTCTTGCGAAGGGCGTCTTTTACCAACCTTTGCTTCCTTTCTTCGTCGGTTTCAATCGCAGACCTGGTGAATCTCATCTCCCTGACTCTCAACGCGTCTCTCTTCAATCTTTCCTTCCTCTCCTCCTGAGTTTCCTTCGCGTACTGATTCAAACGAGCCTCTCTCCGTTTCGCGGACTCTCGATTCAGTCTCTCTCTCCTCTGCTCTGGAGTCTCGCTGGCGTACAACGAAAGCCTCTTCATTCTTCTTCTTTCAGCTTCACGATCCAGCCTTTTTCTTCTATCTTCAGGAGTCTCGTTATACATCCTGTATTCTCTTTTCCTTGCAGCTTCCGCGTCTAATCTCTTCCGTTTCTGCTCCGGTGTTTCGTAATACATCCTCATTTCTCTCCTCTTCGCAGCCTCCTTTGCTAATCTCTGTTGCCTCTGCTCTTCGCTCTCCTGCTCGTAAAGCTTCTTTCTTTTCTCTCTCATACACTCAGCTTTTCGCCTTAATTTTTCTTTGTAATCTTGTAGTGAATTCCTCTTCAGTTGCCTCTTTGATCTTTCGGATTTACTCGATTTAGCTTTCTTCTCTGGTGCTTCATCCTTCTGTTTGAATAATGTTACTATATCAGATTCCTGATCTTCTTTACTCTTGGGATTCTTGACGATTTTTAGGTCTGCGTTCTCCACGTTGCACAGCCACTCCGTGGCGTAAACAGTTCCCTGGTCCAGTTCATTTTCCTTTTTTATGTTAAGGTTTAATCTCAAGAGTTCGCTGGGGACAGTCACCGTTGAAACGCTGTAATTATTCGGTTCGTTCTGATCGATGAACACCTCAGTTATTCGATTCGTTGGTTTTTGTATTTCAATGTTTATGTTCTCGTAGTCTAAATTCTGTAAGTACACGGAGCTGTTTAATATCCCATTAATGCTGCAGGACTCGTCCTGATGTTCGTTTAACGTAGAGTTTGAACTATTCAAATCGTTTTCTATTATACAATCTTTATTGTTCGACGGTTTATTATTAATTACAGTACAGACTTTGCTCTCCTTAATCTCGATGGTACAAAAATTCTGCGCCGCGTTGATTATCTCGATATCGTTGAAGTCTGTCTCGTGTTCATCGTTTTCCTGCTTTATGTAAACCGGTATAAGGTCTATTGAACAATCTCGGATCTCCACGCTAGTTTCGCTCAATTCCATGACCCTTGCAATGCCACCGGATACTGAAATATCAAACGCGTGTATGAATTCGATCAAAAATTCTTTTGATTCTTTCGAATTGTCGTTTTAGGAGTTGCAGCATGTTGGGGGATGCCCAAGTGTCAAAATTACCTGCGTATCGTCTGCTGATGACAGCTGATCGAAGCTGCAACGCGTTTAGAGCGTTTCTCACGGTGAAACCAGCCTCTCAACCGTTATCATTCTCCTGCGGGTCACATGATACCGTGGAGTAATCGAGGTTTTCTAGCCATGAATCCGATGTCCTAGCCTCGCGTGAATTCAATTCGTACGTCTTCCAGCTACTTGCTGCTCGTTTATCCACGTCGGTCGACATTAGAGTTCCTCGCATTGACTATGCATCGACTGCGTTCGTTGCACTTGCGCAAAAAGTAACGGACAGCATTGGCTGATTCTTTAGAATCGATGTTTTTCAGGTGGATCGTACGTGGCGTTCGAAAGGATCAACCGTTTTCTACGTTTTTCGAAGTTTAATCATCATTTATCATCATATTTTGGGTTTCAGGTTATAAAAAAAGCAGGTAATGAGCGTGGAATAGGGTAAGATTAATCAATAATTAGATTGTAAGGCTATGTGAACCCGTACGTAAAAATAATGACAAAGCATAGAAATTGTAACCAATACTCGATATTTATTACATTAAATAACATTCCTTGCGATTTGTATGGTAAAGTATATGAAAGTAGGTTGAAAAATAGCATGAATTTTGATTATTCAATATAATTATTCAATACGATAGCTTAATTTTATTAAAAAAAGCATAATTAATAAGTTTCGCATGTACTTATGTATGAATTCGTTGTTCGAATTGTGCGCGGATCACGTGATCTATGAGAACCAATCAGGGCGTCGCTCATCATTCAATCTTTTCAACCAATCGCGTCGCTTCTTTTACGCGGCTCTGCAAAGTGTCGCGTAATGGCGTCGTAGTGAAGCTCCCGTTGTCGCTCGCAATTTTGCATTTTTAACATAATTAATTAGTGGTAAATTATAATTGTTGTGCATAATCTTGAAGAACGAGCCTCCGAGAACATTTTGGTTAGACAACCGGCATAAATCAGCGAATAATTTCAACGGTACGTATGTTGAAACTTGTCGCCAATTCTCCGCGTCTCGAGCAAATTTTTGATTCTTCTATCAATAATTTCGATCGAAAAATCTAGTTTTCGTTACTTTTAACCTTGAATAAAGTGAAATGCATGAAGGATTGTTAATGGGGTTGATATTCGTGAATGCGATATTCCGAAAATCGGGTTGTAGGCTATTTCATATTTTTCGAAGCCGCGAACGCCTTAAGGGCGAAATTGCTTGCATTCTAAACGCGAATATATTCTTACGGTTAATATTCGTCGTGTTTGTGTGTTCGACAGACATAAAAATAGTCATATATATATATAGGCATCGCATTTTTCCAGAATTTTCGAAGAAGGAGGTGGGGGGACACCGTGTGAGACGCAGTGACATTGAACAACATTGAGACGTGCCATTACGCAGTGGTTGAACAACGCGTCTTCTTAATTTTGTGGTACGTTAACTAAATTATCGCACTTCCTTCGTTCTTTACTGTAATTTCTTCGTTTCTTTAGTTCAGTTCAATAAATATGTAGTTAATTATAGGTCGGTATTCAGAATCGTTGCTTATTCTTAAGACGATCTTAAGAATAAGCAACGACTCTGAATACCGGCCATAGATTAGACATGAAGGAATAAATCGATTAATTCATTTCAGTTTCTTTCATTTCTATCTCTTTCTTTTCTTTTGGGAAATCGTTCGAATCTTGTTTTATCGTGTTACAGAGTGTTGATTTTCGGCGAGGGATGTGAAACTCGAGATGGCTACGTGCGAGAAGAGGACAGACGATCCCAGAGAAGGAGAGGAGATCAACGATGAGTGAGTACATGATATTTATTGAGAAAAAAAGGTACGCCTGATTGTATCTTTTATTTTTTCATTTCTTTTATTATGTATGTATTTTATTCAATGCAATTATTATAAGCGCCCTAACGTGGCTGCTCCTATGATTTAACAAACGAACGAAGTTTGTAATTTTTATTATAAAATCGTAAATTTATTGGGTGCTATCAAAGCGCCTTAATGTGGCTGCTTTCATGATTTCAATTAATATTTTTATTTATGATATATTTTATTGATGATACGTGAGTTTTATTATAAAATCGTGAACCCAATTCTTGTTATCAATAATTATTAAAGCAATGAAGTAAGCATTGATGATTTATAGTTTCTAGTTTCTATGCATGATTTTGAGTATCTAATTTGGGTTTTATCAATCAGATCAATTATTATTGTGTTAGTGAGTATTCAAAGCGCCCTGACGTAGCTGCTCTCATGATTTAATTACTATAATTGATGATACGTGAGTTTTATTATAAAATCGTGAACCCAAGGCTTGTTATTAACAACTATTAAAGCGATGAAGTAAGCATCGATGATTTAGAGTTTCTATGCACGATTTTGAGTATCTGATGCGGGTTTTATTAATCAAATTAATTATTATTATATAAATAAGTATTTAAAGCGCCCTAACGTGGCTGCTCTCATGATTTCGTGAGTTTTATTATAGAATCGTGAGTCCAAGGCATGTTATCAACAATTATTAAAGCGATGAAGTAAGTATGGATGATTTATAACTTCTATGCACGATTTTGAGTATCTGAGGATGGTTCGTAATTTCCTTGACTGATGCTGGATTATTTTAGTCACTATCAGTGGTTTATTCCATCATATCTCGTTCATACGAGCTCCTCTTCTGGTCTCTGTTCCTCCGTTGTTACTTCAACCGGAGTCTCGGTGGAACGGTTGAGGCAGTTTTTGCCCGCCACTACGTGCTCTGATAATTAAGACATTTCCATTTAAAGTTGACGTCCCGTTGACGTGTAGAGATGTAACAGGCGCATGTACGTTTTCGGCCGCTGGCCAGAAAAACCTAATCCTCATGCATTGTGTTGATAATTAATGGTGTATGATCCAGGACCTGTTCCTGGAACCAGACAACCCCTTGCGTAAGAAACGAACTATGTATCTATCACCATAAAGATTTATTAGTTTCACGTAACGCGAATTCGTTGTCTTCTCAGGCAATAATTGCCGTTTTCGGTTTTGTTCCAGAATAAGAAGGAATAGGAAGCAAGTTCGATTGCTTCTAAATATTAATTGCTACTCCTCTGAAGATTCCTTGAGATTATTAATCGTTTTGGATAAGTGTTATAGTTTTGTTGTTCAGTGAGGATTCATATTGGAACGACGTGATGGTACAAAAAATTGTAATGATCGAAATGAAACGACGCTAAAGGACCATTATCTGCCGTCAAGTTTCTCGCGTATAATTGTGCTAGGTGACGGGTAGCATAATTTACGAGGGGGCTCGGTTAACCGGGGGCCAGTGCCAAATTCGAATGCAGAACGGGTCCCGATGGAATGTTGCCAACTTCTTTTCATCCCGAGGTTGACAAAATCATTAGGGGACTAAATCCAATAAAGGGCCCCGGGCCCCCGGCCTGTTCCGTGTAAGAAAACATTCCCTCGAGGTGATCGCTCGCATCGCAATCGATATCCACCGTATCGATTCCAATACGTTCTAATCGTTCATTCAATAATCGTCGATTTTTCCAAAGTATTATCAATTCTATTTTCTTTTTTAGATCAGAAATCGTTGTGTGATGCCCGGTTGTGGTTCACTTCTCGAAGTTAAAACCAGAATTTAGGTCGAATCTTGAAAGGAGACTTTAAAGGTGGAATTAACGAGGAGCTTCTGTTGACTGTCGTTAATCCTCCTTATTAAATTATCAGGACTGTGGAATGTTAAATAATTTTGCGGCGTGTTTCATCGAACGCCACGCGTTTGGAACCGGTTATACAATAATGATTCTACAAAACACGAATTGCTTTCTTAAATATAATTGAACTCGTTTCCGACAGGAGTTATTATTAGACTGTGGATTTTACGAATCTGTGAAACCTTCTATGGAGGAGATACTGAATACCTGCAACGATTTTTACAAATGCTTGTTGGACAATGGGAATAAAAAGGAGAATCTCGTAGGCAATTCGTCGACGGAAGAGGAGGGAGTAGAGTCGTTTTAAACGATTGTGACCGGTTAAAAAATGTGGACGAAACGACACTCTTTAACGAATCGTACGAACCAGGAACGAGTCTCCCTGGCTGGATCGGAATTGGCCGAAGGCACGGCTTGATGTATGATCGGCGCAGAAATGTCTGTCGTCGCGGGGCCGCGTCCCGATAAATCTCCCGGGTTTTTCTCCGCCAGCGGACTTGTCGTTCGCGTATAAACGTATCGTTTTCATCAATATTTATGTTAGCCAGGGGAGGGCGGGCGACCAATTGGAGTCTCTGTTGGCTACCATATACCGAGACCCGAGCGTCTCGATAATAAAGATATCCATTATAGCCGGGTTCTTCTTCCACAAACATTTCGTTTTGTCGGCCGCTTCCTCCGTTTCTCTCGCCGGACGATGCATATATGCATCCCGCGTTCTACCTCCGACGAGATTGTTAATTGCGTCGTGGAAACCACTCGGTTCTTTGCATACAGGCTTCATTTTTTAATTCCTCGACGTACCTAGGAACGGTTGCGATTCTATGCTTGAAATGTGAGGCGAAATCATCTGAAAAATCACCGTGACGCGCTGGCTGCACGAGACACGAAACCGCACCCGATGCGCGTGACAGCGAAACGCAAAAAAAAGGCGCGAGCGATGAAGAAAATTAGCCAAAAGCAAAGGTGTCTCCTTTTTTTTTTTAAAATGCACCTGAGGAGCTCGAGTATATTATTACCTATTTCTAACGCCGCTGGCATTGTGTCGTGAAAGGCCGACTCGTCTGCGATTCGATTCTGCTAATAAAAGAATCAAGCCTAAGCCCTTTATGCTATTCTCGCCTAATTTGTAAAGGAATTGGTAGCGGATATTAGAAATTCAAATGAGTGCGACGAGATTTCAGAATAACAGTTTTAGTCTGAATTTCAATCCTTCGTTTAAGGATGTATTGGCTATACAGTCAATCCCAAAAGTTTATGCACTTTAGGAACGCATTTTTTAAAAAGAAATCACACGTCGGAGGAATATTGCTGATAATAAACAACAAAAAAAAATTTTCGATTTTTCCGAGATTTTTCCAAGGGGTACCCC